ATATTTATTGTATCGACAACTCCATAGCAGATGCTCTCTCTTGGGGAAAGGTATGTCCCACGGATAAGGGGTAAAATGGGCCTTTACATTAGTCCATTCAGCAAAGACCTTATCTTCATCAAAGCCCATCTTCTGTTGCACTGGTTTGAATGTCTTTGTCAGCGTTTTCAATGAATCTTTTCCATATGTGGCTAGTTACTCTCTGTTCTTTGGCCAGTCCTCCAGATCAGTTATTCTGCATGCTTGCAAGATATGGTGGTTGGCAGATTCCTTTTGTCTTTCTGGATGGTGTGAATGATGTTGCTGTATGGTTGCACATCCCCCTGTGGCAGCTGAACATTTGTTAATTGCACTCCTTTATATGATCCATCTTAGCCAACTTACTGCAGGAATCTTTTCTGATGAAGGCCCTGTTCATTAGCAAGTTCATCTAGCTGCAAATTTGCAGTTTCAAGACCATCCAGAACATCTGCAGCAGGTATAATTTCTTCTTGGTATCTCAAAGAGAGTGATGAGATCACAGACAACACATTCCAGAGAAAGGTCATGAAGTGCAACATCCTAAAGTCATCCTAACCCAACATCCTAAATTCTTGACAATGTAGAGTGCCGTGGCCTTCATAGTTTCAGCAGCAGTGCCTTGTGTTTCATTTTCAAGATGAAACTGTTGAGAAGTATGGCAAGAGCTCTGCTAATGTGTGGCACCCATTGTATTCCACAAGATGAGCTGGTTTTAGAACATCTTCCTTCAAACACTCAGCAAGGGCTCTGTACTCACGCAGTGCTCTTGGTGACCGGTGATAATGCTTGTGAATTTTATGCAAGATGTCATGAACTTTTTGTAGGTCTTTACTGTCCTTTATTGATGACAAGACACTTACATGTAGCTCCAGTCTGTGAGCAACACAGTGAATGGTTTGCACATGTTCATGTGCATGCTGCTTGAGTCGTGTTGCAACGCTCTTATTTGCACCCATATTAACTGATGCTCCATCTGATCCTGCTCCAACAAGTTTGTCTTTCCAGTTACTGCCCAAAACAGAGCTAAATGCAAGGTTGATCCCTTTAAAGGTACCATCAGCATTAGCATTTTCTAGGTCTTGAAGTTTGAAGTAGTGATTTCTTGGGATGCCATTTTCCAGAAGTCTGATATACAGAATTTCAAGTTCTTGTACACTACAGTCAGTGGCACCATCAAACATAATGCTGAAGACCTGTGAAGTTTTGAAATTCTGTTCAATGGGTGACCTTACGGTATCAGCCAGATAAGTGGTGGACCTAGAAAAACGTAAAGCCATTGTCCTTTTTGACTGAAAGATTTGAAATTGAAAGTTTCAATTATGTAAGAGTCACTGTTTTATTTTTTGTTACGAATGTTGTTTTATTAAATGTTAGAAATACCAAATTCTTCCTCTTTTACAAATGCAGTGACTTGGGAGTCATTGTTGGGTTAACATTTATTTAGAAAATTTTGGATATTAATAAACTAAGGTGAGTGAGGGCCAAAATGAAACTTCATGGTCATGGTTTTTAAAATTATAATTGCATTTCTTTTTCATTTCATTGCGTAACTGCAAACCAATTATTTTACACACCTCCTGCATGCTTGGTGTGATCTATAAGACAGGATTCGCTGTACATCATGTCCATTGCTCGTAGTTTAAGCAAGTTTGAATGGGCAGTAAAGGGCATTTCTTGTTTCAAGACGAAGTATGCCGTATTGAAGACATGTTGGAGGACTAACATGTTTGCCATGTTCAGTTCCTGAATATGCCTATCCATTGGGCCCTCTACATCACCCCTGCCTTGTTATGTGGCTCTTGACTTCAAAGTCCCTGCTGCACGCATGTGAGCTTGGGATGTCCAGTGGCCTCAATTCGGCAGGAGGTACATCCCATGAAAAAAATGGAATCCTTATCTGCTACCTCTGGTAGTGACTGGCAGATCGCACATTGCATTCCATCTGGTGTATCCTTCAGGCCTTCAAAGTGAGTTGACCACGATGAAACAAAACCCCTTTTTCATTTGGTCTCATACTTTTCTTTGGGATGGGATTCCGTGTTGTCAACTGAACATGATGACAGGGAGCTTGAAGCTGTGCCGAAATAATTATCGATAGTTTGCTGTCTTTTTTTACCTACGGCTGCCATGTTTTGATTCATTGCATGCACGGTATTCAAATAAAAGTAAACTTCAACAAATCATTACTAACTAGACTACACGTGCACACGGCAAGCATGCATGACTGCTCAACGTACTACTGCACACTGACATGCAAATTCCTTCCTTCAGCCAATCACCATTGATGAAATTGCTACGCCAGCAATTCCACATGAATATACATGTACATCACCCCAACTGTTGGGTGTATGCAGAGCTAGAGTGCACAGGACCCTGATGCATGATTCATACAAGTTTGGGCAACGGCTATTTCTTAACCACTCAAGAATTTTGCCTGCTGTCATACATGTATGCAAAAGGTACATGTACACACACAGGTACCAGGCAAAATTCACTAATTAGCTAATGTTGAAGTCACATAAAATAGTCTTCGAGCGTCCGGCCGTCAAAGTGCCTCCACGACGCGCGTGCAATAACCAATGATGTTTGGTACCCAGGCACAAGGGTATTTTATAGTGTGTTTGTGCACGTATTTTCCCTTGTGTGGAAAGGTGCTCTGCTACATGTACATGTACAGTATGCTTTATACCCGTAAGTTAGCACATACATGTACATGTATGTAACAATGCAAAAATCATTGTACCCCACGTACCGACACAGGCCTAGCTGTTTACTTTTTATCACTTTTTATAAGCTTTGTGAAGAGGAAAAAACCAATCAAAGGTAAATTTGATGACTGATATTCTTGGCAACCAAAAACGGACACTTTATTTCGAGAAAAAGTACCTGTCCATCGGGCAATTTGTCCTAGATTTTTACTTGCCCAAAAGAAGAAATTACTTGTCCCTGGCAATAGGACAACTGTTAATGTGGAGGTCTGACCTCAGGGAAGGTGTCCTTATCTACTATCAATTATACCATCCATCAACACACTGTGGGTGGCCAGTCCGACCTGCAGCAGCCATGTGCCACCAACGTGTGGACTGTCTTATGCATCCGTACACACAGTTGAACATTCATTGTGCATGGTGTGTGTGCGCTGTGGTTGGACTTACTACTGCACAGCAATGCACAGTACGTTGAGTACGTGTACACGGTACCGGTCTGAAGGCGATATATTTTTATGTGTCTTGCTGGGGAAACTCGACGAGAAAAATTCAGTAATCGTGGCTTTAATTAAAGGAAGCTTCCATTGAGTTTTGAAGTGTAGTCTCCTCTCATAGAAAATTACATATTGATTGAATGGAATGAATTGAAAAACAGAAGACACAAAAAAGCTAGAAGGCAACCTAATGGAGGCCTTTTTTATAAGCTGGTGCACAGATTTTAACCCTCTGCATGCTACGAATCTGTACAGGGTGTATTCCTTCTTCGCTGGATTATATTTATGTACACACCCAATTCGTGCCTTCATGCATTTGTGGGCCTTTTTCTCATTCAAACAGTTTGTGTATCACAAATCACCAAATAAATTATTTGTAGAGACAAAGATTTCCAATATGTTGGTTCAAACAAGATTACTTTATGAGGTTTATTCTGGAAGTTACATAATATTGTTCCTACCATATTCCATTGGTAT